GAGTCACACAGCAACCACACTGCGGAGCCAAGATCTGAAGTCGTCTTGACTCCAAAGCCCATGTGTTTGGCCACATAACCAAATAACCCAAATGGTTACTGACAAAAGAGAAGTCAGAGCCTCTTTCAAATTATTCCATTTTACCCTCCGATTTTAAAAATTAAGACACAATTAGGGGAACCAATATACCGAGCAGAACATGCTCTGTGCCATACATTTGCCAAAATCGTGAACATAGTAAAACAGAATTTTAGAGGCCTTGGCCGTAGCGTCGTGGAGCCCGTGTTTGCAGCTGGAGAAAAGAAGACGGGGAGGAGCGCGTGGTCGGTGCTGGGCTCGCTCACCCGGGCAGGGGCAGCGAAGGGAGTGAGCCGTGGGGCTGGCATCTCAGCCAGCCGTGGGGCTGGCCTACAGACGCCCGTATCTATTAGGCATCCCTCGTGGGCAAAGCGTTGTACTGGGCTCCATGGAGAAACACAAAAGGATTAGGAAACCCTCCACTGCCTTGACAGCACTTAAAATCTGGTGGAGACTGCGGCCTAATTCTCCAGACTGAACCTTTGGGGTCTGGAAAGCGACGGAGACCTTCAGGCCACTGTCTGGGCAGGAAGAGCCATCACGCCACCATCTCTTCTCTGACCCTCCTTTCAGACAGGGTAGCTTTAGCCAGGTGTCTGTGGGGACCTTTCCTGAGGCCATGTTGTGGCAGCTTCTCAGATTAAGGGATCAGGGACAGAGGCCTCCAGGCCCTACTGTTGCCAGGGCAACAGTGAGTCAGGCCAAGGCCTCTCCTCCAGCTTTCTGGAAAGCACTGCAGCTGCTGAAGCCTCTTACTGCTTCCCAGGCATAGTGGGGACTTCTAGATTTAAATTTTTATAAATCGGTTCTGCACTGACCACTTCTAGTTGGGTTCTTTGAAACGGGTATTTTTAGTTAAAGCATACTAGAATCTAACCCTTCTATTTCTATTTTCTACCAAAGGTAATTCCAGGCTAAAATAAGTTTTCTAAGCAAGAAAAGAAAGGAAGGGAGAGAGGAAGGGAAGAAGGAAAGAAGGAAGGAAGGGAGGAAGGAAGGGAAAAAGAAAGAAAAAACTAAGTTAAACCGAGTACTACTGATAGTGAGTGGCCTTACGTGAAAACTTCCAGTCAGAAATCAGACCTAGCCCTGAGTTTATTAGGGATAATAATAATTACCGCTATAATTCATTGGGTCTTACCATGTTCCAGGCACTGTGCTAAGGAAATGCTTTCATTTCATTTTCTCTTTTGACAACCTGTGAAATCGGTATTATATACCCTTTTACAATGAAGTTTGGAGAGGTTAAGCGATTAGCCCAAGGTCACATGGCCAGAATTTAAACGTCACGTGTGTGCTGTTAACTGCTGTTGGAGACTGCCTCCCAATTTCTTCTACGTGGATCCTTAATAAAGAAGGCAAAACAGTACTTTTTCTCAAATTGCAGCTCTGACTCTCCCATGGACACAGCGTGTAAGTTCTGGACCTGGCAGACAGACCAGCTCAGCCCGGCAACCCTGGGACAGCATCCGGCTCTCCTAACCGGGGAGAATAGATGCTGCGCGCCCCGGTGGCTGGGCATCAAGCCAGCCCCCATTTTAGACCGAGCCCCTCTCTTCCGTGGGGACTTTGGGAAGAGGCTTATGTGTTAAGGCGAGGGGCTCCCTTTCTGTGTTTGTTTCTATGTTGGGACCTAAGAAGCCATTTGTTTAACAGTCAGAGAAGGAACGGGGTGAAGATTTTCATACGGACGATGCACCTGCTCTCCAATAAAACAGTGCTCACGCCGTGACTCAAATCCTTTAGGCTTGTGCTACCTCTTGGGTTCTCACCATTCCTTCCACCGCAACCAATGAATGAAACTCACTGCTCCTCTTTATGAAATAACAAACAAGTTCTCAAAATAACTCGAGTATGTTAGGATAGGAGCATCACTACTGACCATTAACTAGGGTAATGAAAAGTTGAATTTTAGTGACAAAATGTACCAATGAAAATTTCTATCCTCACTAGCAATTTTATTTAAATACTGAATATCGGGACAACAAATTGTTTCCTTTTAGAATCAGTATAGTCTAATAAGCATAAAAGCTTTTTAAGAACTACATTCAATCAGTTCTTTGTTTACAGATACACAAATACTAAAGATACGCCCTCAAAGGATTGAAATTGATTGGATTTAAGTTCGATTCAATTAAGAAAATTAAACAGGTTATGAAGCATGACATTTGCCATTCTTCCACTGAAGGTATGATCCAAGAACCATAGTATCATGACCAAATTTTCTGCAGGTCAATTATACAAATTCTAAAATCTAAGATAAAAATTTTAGGCGTGTATTATCGTATGTGGGTTGATCGTCATCACTGAAACTGGCCCCATTAATTTTGTCCCAAAGTAAAGGCAGTAAGTTGGTTTGCAAAGCTACCCCCTAAACAATTTAATAATAACAAATGTCCAACTAAAATTATTATTCATTTCCCACTTTAGCTTATCCTGAATTAACCAATGCCTTACCAAGCCAAAGGTTTGTGATACATCTTGAAATAAGTTTGGATAAAAAAAAAACCCTCAAATGTTTCAGAGTACTACTGAAAGAGCAAGTCAGTATCCAAATAACGCCAGCCCCTAGTATATTTATTCAAATGGTAGACATACTGAGAAGAAATAGACACATTTTTCTTGCCCAAATCTGTGCCAGCTCTGCAGAGTCTTGGAACAAGCATAAACTAAACTGCATACAAACATGCTTGGGTGTTCATTTTACCAAAAGGATTAACTCGCATTAGTATGTTATTGTCATATAACTGAATTTCAGAATTTAATTTAAAACCCTTTTCCCCCAAATGAAAGTAGCACTGTTGTTTTTTCTTACTGTAAAGGGAACTTCTGAGTTCCAAAGAATAAGAACTTATCTCAGAATTGAATGAGCCTGTTATTTCTCCAAGAGGAAGTATTAAGTCTCATCTGTAAATGTACCAGAAGAAATTCATCTGCCACCCAGTATGAGGACTTTTAACCATCTCCATACCTGTGAGATTAACTGGGTTGTCTGGAAGAGTTCATCACCTCTCTGTAGAAACTAAATCTATAGTCCTATATTTTAGAATCTCTTTCAGAGTCAGGACACAAAATCTTCATCAAATTTATAATGATCCGCCAAATTTTCTGCCCTTCATCTGTCAGGGTTTTCAAGATTTTGTTTTTAACCCCAGAATCCCTTGTTTAAATAAAACCATTTTCAGAATCTAAATATGTACAATAATCAGAGGCAGAGGGGCTGGGGTTGGAGTGGGGGGGGAAGCGGCTAAACCCACCTGCTCAGCCCTCCCGGCCCTGGGGGCTGCCCAGAGGGGTTTCTGAAGAGGAAGCTGCTTCAAACCCCACCCCCTGCCCTGGGCAAGTCCTGCCCACCCTTCTCCCTTGCGTCAATGTTTCCCAGTCTCAATCCAAACTCTGTGGGTTTAATTTATCCATTGACACATTCCATGCTTACACCTTTGACAGGGCACAGGGTTTAGGTTTATTTCTTCCTTTTAGGGTGTACGTGCATCTCTATTCTCTATAACCTCTACATTACCAGGCAGATGTTCATAGCAGGTTATATGGTGAGTCCCAGTGAAGTCTAGAGAAATGACACCCACCAAGAATCCCTGGAAGGCAGAAGGAAGTAGCAGCACAGATGTCCAGAAAGGCCCTGGCAGAAGCTGCCAGGATTACAGAAGTTATTTTTACAGCAAACACTTACGCTGTGGAGACGAGGGATCATCACGCCAAGTTACAGCCCCCAGGACCCTTGGCCACACATCATGGCTGTGAGATGCTTTGAGGGTCTCCCTCCTCCAGGCTGTCCTGGGCTCCGTGCGTGCCTGGCGTGGGCCCTTGACGGCATGTGTGCTTGACATTCTCAAGGGCAGGCTTCAGGTCATCTCTGTGCTTGCTCCAGCATCTGGTACCCGGGTCTGGCCCAGGTGAGGCACTCACCTTAAATGAACAGGGGAATCAGATGAAAATGTGCAGGAAAGAGAAACAAGCAAAACCCCAAATCTCTGTCCATTTGGGTTGCAGATGATTTTCCTCATTAAAGCTAATCCAAACCTTTAAAAGATGGCATAGAAAACGTACTTTATCATTCCCTCCGATATCTCAGCCCAAATAATAGGTAGAGTCCCCAGGTCACTGCCAGATCCTCTTAACCACATTTGCTGGGTGGCTGGGGTGATGACAGAAATCCTTCTGGGCTGCCCTGCCCTTTGAAGGACGGCCACCCAGCTCCCAGCTATGGAGTCCAAGGGTAGGCAGGCAGCAGAGCTAGACTGCAAGGGAATGGAGCAGTTGGCATCTCTCCTGCATCCAGCGAGCCCTCCCACCCTTCCCTGGCTGTCAGAGCTGTCAGATTGTCACTCCTCTGTTTGCACAGGACAGCAGCGACTCTTGGCTTCCTCTCATTTTAGATGGCCTTGGTCCCCTGTGCCCTCCTGCCCTCTACAGCGGCGGCGGCACATGGACCCCCTGGGTAGAGTCCTCTCCCAAACCCAGGCCCCCAAACCCTTGAAGACTTCCTTGGGGATCCTTAGAGTCCTTCCCGGCTCCCAGGGAACTGCCATGCCCGTCCTCAGCCTCCCTCGCTGAACCCCAGCTCCATCTCTTCTTGAGACTTCATCGACTCCCTCAAAGATCGGGGCCCCAAGTCAGCACCTGTGAAATGGGGACGGACAGCGTCTGTCTCCCAGGCGCTCTGTAAGCGGTGCTGCAGGATGATGGAGCTAGGCCTTAATAAAAAATCTTTTTTTAAATTAAAAATTGGATTTCTATAGATTTATATATTTACGTTTTAAATAAATGTATGTCATCTTGTAAATTTAATTTATAGCGAGCTGAATTTTTTCAATTTCCTCAGCCGAGCCTCCCCTCACCTACCGGCCGAACCAGCTGAGCGCGCGCGCTGGCGGGACGCCGTGTCCTGGGCCTCGCTCGAGCGCCCGCGCCACGTGGGGCCGCGGCCGGGCCGTGCTGCCCCCTGGCGGCCGGATCCGGGAGGCCCGGAGGCCGCCGCGCCGCACCTGGCCGCCCGCGGCCGCTCTAGGAACGCGGGGCCTCTCGGTGGTGGCGGGGGCCCGTCGTCGCGCGCCCAGGAAGGGGCTGTGCCCGAAGCCGGGGTTCTGCGGCGCGGGCGCTTCTACAAGGCGCGCCAGGCCTCTCTGCCGAGCGGGCGGCCCGGCGCCGTCTTTGCACGCCCCGAGACCATCCCTCTGGGGCCGAAGCCGCTCTGGTTTTCTTGTTTTTTCGCACGCCTGGCCGGCCCCGTCCCCCGACCCGTCGCGGGCGCGTTCTTTGTGCAGATCCTGTTGCTGGGAACCCGTGGGTGCAGAGCGGACCTCGGGGCTCTGCGGAGAGCGGGAGCGCCGAGACGTGCCCCACCCGTAAGGCCCAAAGCCGCTCCGAGGAGAAGACTTAAAGGGAAATCCCAACGAGCCGCGGGGACCGAGAAGGAAGGGGTGGCCCCTGGAATTGACCCGAGCTTTAGGGATGCAAACCCTTTCCCGCGTGGCACTGCTCGAGTCGGTTAAGCTCTACACCACGCGGAGGCGCACCTTGAGAAGCGTCCTGACGATGGGCTCGACCTGTTGTTTCTTGATACATTTTCAAATATGTCTATAGTTATTTCCAAGAGTTGGAATTGCCCTGTCAAAGGGTATAGGCATTTTTTTTTTTAAGGCCTTTTGATGCCTGTTGCCAAACCATTTTCCAGAAGGGCCACGGGCTTACCTTGTTCTCTGTGGGACGTAGGTAGGGTACCCGCAGGCAGAGCTGCCAACTGGGAAGGTGGTCTCTTGTGGGGAGGGGGAGGGGTTGAGAATCGCCTGGCATTTAAGGGGCAACATGGGGTTCCGTGTGAGTGATGACCAGGCAGGCAGTGGCTTTGCGACAGTGCCCTGGGTCATACTGTGGGACTGACTCTCAGTGGATGTCAACGCTTCCGGAACATTGGGCAGCCAGAGGGATCCTTTGAAAATGCGGGTCCTCTTTTGCTCTTCGGGTAAAATCCAAAATCGCATCAGGGCCCACCGGGCCCTGCCTGCCTCTCCAGCCCTATCTTGGGCAGTGTATTGGTTTCCTAGGGCTGCGTCACGAAATACCAGAAACTGGGTGGCTTCACATAACAGAAGTTTATTGTCTAAAAAAGTCCACAATCAAGGCGGCGTTAGGGTTGGCTCTTACTGGAGACCCTGTTGCACGCCTCGCTCTGTTGCCGGCAATCCTCTATGTCCCTTCGCTTGTGGACGCATCACTCCAGTGTCTGCCTCCATCCTCACGTGGTGTTTCCCTTGTGTCTCTATCTCTATGTCTCTTCTCTTCCTCTAAGGACAATAGTCATATTAGATGAAGGACGCACCCTAATTCTGAACCACCTCATCCTAACTTACTATCTGCAATGACCCTACTTCCAGATCATGCCACATTGGAGGTTCCTGAAAGGACGTGGATTTGAGCGGACGCTGTCCAACCCACAAGAGGCTGTCTCCCCTGACTCGGGGGCCCTGGCCTTCTCTCCACTCTCCTGGCTCAGCCTCTGCCCCCCACCCTGTCCTCCTGGGCCACCCATCTCCACCTCCCGTCCCCTCCTCCTGCAAGGTGTTGTGGAAATGTCACTGCCTCCGAGAAGCCCTCCCAAACCCCGCAGATGAGGGTCACCCTGCCTTGTTTAACGGGCTCATGACACCCATCCCAATGGTATCTGAGGAAGTGCCTGAGTCACAGTGTGTCAGTCTCACGTGTGCCTCCCCTGGAAGGTCACCCCCGTGAGGGCCGGAACCAGGCCGCCTGGGTGAGCAATAACAAACCTAAACACGTGGGCACGGAGACTGACTGCGGAAGCCTGTCTCAGTAGGACAGGCCAGAGGGGACAGGCTCTGTACCAAGCCCACTGCAGGGCCCTCCAGGAAGGCCTCCGAAGCGGTGGCCCCGGGACACGGGGGAGACAGACCTGCGGTCAGGGCAGGCTCCACCCCTCCCCCGACCATGACTTTCAAGGCCCTCTCTAAGCTGCCCCTGCCCCACCTCAATGACCTCTGCTCACATCTCTGTCTTGTTCTGTCCCTTTGCACTGTTCACGCTCCTGCATCCATCCTGCCAAGCCAGCTCCCTTCTTAGGGCCTTGGCGGTCTCTACCCACAGCCCGGAATGCTCTGCATCCAGGTTTTTACACACTGGCTTCTTACCATTCAGACTTCAGCTCCTATTGTCACTTCCCTGACGACCCCATCTCACCCGCGTCGTCCTCCATCACATCAACCTGCTTTATTTTCAGTGTCTGTGATGATCTTGTTCATTTGTTTGTTCTCCTGTCTGTCCCCCTAACCTCTCAGAATATAAGCTCCGTGAAAGCAAGGACCTCGTTTGCCTGTTCACTGCTGAGCCCTCAGTGCCAGGCTAGAACCTGGAACACAGTGGGTGCTTCCTGTTTGTTGAATGACTGAATGAAAGTTAACCCTTCCAAGCTCTGTTTCTTCATCTACAAAATGGGGATAATCTGAGCTACTTCATAAGAGATAATAATTGTACCTACCTCAAAGGGAAGATTAAATGAGAGGAGGTACATGAAATGCCTCCAGAGTAGTAAACACTCAGCATATTGGAACCATTATCAGTATCTTAGATTGACACCCAGCCTAACATGGAGGGGATGTGGCAGATGTGGTGGTAACTCTTACAGATCCCCAGAGGGATTACAGAGGGTGATTCAACCTTCACATTCTTTCAGTTACCCAACCTTTACCACAAAAGGATGGAAGAAGTGTGGTATTGTAACAGCCCTGAACTTGGACCAAGTGGTCTTGAAACTGAGTGTCTTAGAACTTTCTGAAGCTGCATCCTCACCTGCAAAATGGAAATAATTATTCCTTATAAAAGCTTAAGTGGCTTATATGTAAATTATGATGCATATTTCCCAAATGACTCTACCACTGGTTCTTTTTGTCTTAAAGCAATTATTTATTAATTATATCATAGTAAATGGTATTGCTTGCAATTACTAGAAGGGAATATGCTTAAATTTGTAATATTGTTTTTTCTGATTTTGAAAGTAATATATTACAGAAAATTTGGAGGATATAGAAAGTTTGAAGAAGAAAGTTTTAAAATCATCCCTAATCCCCCCATTTTTAGTCCTCCTCTTTATGCCATGGAGCAAACAATACAAATTTAAATGCATTGGCAAGAGGAACAGTGATGTCAGCAGGTCCAGCAACTTGGGCTTCCTAGCAGGTAGGTTTGCTTCCTGAAAGGCCAGGGAAAGTGGAGTCCTGGCTTGATGGAGTCTTGGGAGTGGCTCGGAGGGGAAGGAGGCCCACGAGAAGGGACTGGTCTTTTGAGGGTGTGGCCCGAGGAGAGCATCTGACTATAGATTAAGAGGTCCTGATGTGGATTCAGAGGTACTTTTACCACGTCCTTAATTTTTTTTTTTTTTTACATTTCTAAGTAGTTTATGAAAATAATACATTACTGGAAATTTTTACATTTGAAATAATGCTCTCTGTCATTTAACACAGAATCACCTGGTTTTAAAAGACACCAGTGTCCTTGTCTCTCAACTAGCTGCCCCCCTCCTCCCTGCATTAGGGTTTTTTAAACCTTTTTAAACCTCCCTAGAAGGTTCTAATAAGATCAGGATTAAGAACCATGACTTAGCATGTAATTCACATTTTCTTGTGAATTATACGAAACATTTAAATAGCTTGCAGGACCTTATTTCCCCCACCAGGGATCGAACCCACACCCCCTGCAGTGGAAGCCAAGGAGTCCTAATCACTACCCTGCCAGGGAAGTCCCAGTAGTTTTTGATCACTGGAGATCTAGCATACTTCCCTTAACTACCTCTCTAGTATTAGGCATGTTTAAATATTTTAAATAACACTTAAGAGGGCTTACATGTAAGTAAGTAAGAGGACTTACATATCTTTGAGCCAACATTTGTTCATATTTCAGACATTTTCTAAGGATGGATTCCAAGAAATGGAATTACTACCAAGTCAAAGGGAATTAATTATTTAAAATAATCTCTGGTTTTACACTGCCCTTCCCCTCAAGAAAGATTGTACCAATTTACAGTCCCAATTTACAGTACTAATATGATAATTACTGTTTTAATTGTTTTCCTAATTTGATAGGTGAAAAATGTTATGTTTTAATTTGCATTTCTTTGGTCTTCCTAAAATTTACCCTGATTTACTGAGATTGAGCACATCCTTGATGGCCTAAGTGGAGCCTTTACATATTAAGGATATTTATTTGCAGCATTTTGTCTGTCGTAAATGATGGAAATTTGCTATAATCCCAACTTGCTATTAACCTTTCAATTTTGTTCATATTCCTAAACTCTTAATGTTTAAATAACTACTGACATTTTCTGTTCGGATTTCTTCCATGCCTTCCCTGCTGTTCAGAAATTAGTTAGATATTCATTTATATTCTCTCATACTTTATGTTCGGTTTTGTTATACACAGTGCTTTAATCCACTTGGACTGTATTTTGATATACAAAAAGAAGTTTAGGTGCTACTTTAATTATTTTTCCCAAATGGCCAATTAAACTCTCCTAGCTTGATTTATGTAAATAACCTTTCCTTTCCCGTCTGAATTCGTGACTGCTCTACGTCGGGGCAGTAAAACGCCGTGGTTAAGTGTGTGGTTAAGTAAGCCTCGACAGCTTATTTCGCATCCTGCCCCCCTCGGGTTCCTCCGCTGTGCCCCTGGGGTAGCAATCACAGCCCGCTCCCAGAGGGCTGTGGACGTCCTCAGCGCTTGGGAGGCACTCGCGATGATCTTTTATTACGTGGGTACACATACTATGGTGTTCTCCCAGGTCTGGCTGCCTTGCGCTGTTTTAGTAGATGTTCTAATATTTACAGTGGAAAAGTCCTCCAGTGTCGCTTCTGTTATTACTTTCGCAGTTTTCTTAGCTACCGTCACCTATTTCATTTTTGGAAATAAACGGTTCCCCTTTTATTTACTAGGCCTGGCCTTCCGTTTACCTCTCAAGGAAGGAGTTCGAAAAGGACACTGCTTGATGCAGCTGGCAGACTAGCTAAGGTTTGCGCGGTTAGGGGAGCAGAGCCGCGAGGGGCATCAGAGCGGTGGGAAGATGAGAGAGAGGCGGCGAAGACGAGGAGGAGGACGACGAGACCAAAAGCCGGAAAAGGGCAGATGGAGCAGAAGCAACGAGGCGGCCCGGGCTCAGGCCGGAGCTTGGCGCGCTGAGAAGTCTCCCTCCGGGCGGCCTGGGTCTTCTCCAGGCAACAAGAGGGGCCCTGAACCTCTACCACCTCCGGCTGTGGGCAGAAGACTGTGACCAAATCAATCGTCCCACCGAACCTGGGGAGGAAAACCGGTTGGAGTTCTGAGCAGGAAGGCCCGCCTGGAGCGACCATAGGCAGCAAAACCCAAGGCAGAGGCTACGACGGTCGGCAGGGCCTGGGTGTGGCTGCACGGCTATAAAGGTGTGAGTTGAGACAATTTAGCTGTGTCAGGGGGTATAGCTCAGGGGTAGAGCATTTGACTGCAGATCAAGAGGTCTCCGGTTCGAATCCGGGTACCCCCTGCCCACGTAGCATTTTGGAATTTCCAGGCTTCAGCAAGCCTGAGGCCCATGGCCTTCCTTCCTTGGGTCCCTGTAGTTCCAGCACCCCTCCACACTGAGAACAACACCCGCTGACTCTTTCCCATCTGGAGATGTTCCACCCGGAACAGCCACCTATGGATTGTGGAGAGGTCCACAGTGTGGGAAGCCTCATTGGCTTCTTGCACTTTTCAAGGAAATGGGGGGAGCAGGATGCTGTCAGGGCCCCAGGAGGGTCCTGCTGCTCGTCAGAGTGTGGTAGATGGAAGGAGCCCCAGGGAGGAGTAAGAAGTTGGGGTTCTGGTCCCAGCACCACCATCACCCCACCTTTTCTCATCAGCACAAGGGGTGTCAGCCAGGAGCAATGAGGGCTGCTCGCACAGGACAGAAGCAAGACTGGGGTCTGCGGACGGCTCTGGGGAGGCGTAGGAGACCCACAGATTTCCAGGTCCCTGGACAGCCACTTTCAAGTGACTTTTTTCTGTAGACCAAAATATGTTTAATGAAAATACCTCTGATCCAGGTGCTAAAGTAACTGGTAAGCTTAAAGTATGCTAATTGAAAGGCACCCTGTGGGACCTCCCTGGTGGCCTAGTGGTTGGGATACTGTAGTTTCCCTGTAAGGGGCATGGGTTTGATCCCTGATGAAGGGACTGAGATCCTGCATGTTGTGTGGTGTGGCCATGAAACAAAAGAAAAAGTTTTAAACAACCAAAAAGCATTTTTAAAAAGTATTCTCAGTTGTAATTTTTTTGTATTGCAATATGTAAACATTTTAGCCACAAAATTTTCGCATTCTCTTTTTGCTTCCATTCAAAGTACGTTTCTTCCACAAAAATATTTATAAGACAAAGCTCTTGAAATGAGTATGATTCTTTGGAATATTTCACCAAATTTAGATGCTGCAAAATCATAAGCTTTGAAAATTTCATTCCCTTCAGGTACAGAATGTAAATTATCCAATTTAAATGAGGAGCTTCAGCCAAAGCCTCCTTAGAGATATCGCAAATGCAATTTTAGAAATTCAGAATTAAATCCTGTACACCACGTGAAATTTCATTGTTTAACTTGTTCGGTTTCTCTCTTGCTTTTGCAAAAATACATTTCGATATCTTCCTGTTTGCAAATTTTGTTTTCATTTATTGCAACTCTCTAAAGTTTTCAAAAGCTGAAGTTTTGGGGCACACCGTTTGTTGAAAACTTTGATTAAAGATTTCCAACAGGTTTGTGCAAAACACAACAACAATTTTTGGTGCACATTTTTACAAAAAGAAAAGTTTAATACCAATGCCATTGCAGGACACTTAGGTTAATTCACAAAGTAGTTCTTCAAAGGTTTAAACATTTCTAAAATCTTAGTGGTATTGGGGACAGATGTGTTTTAAGAGACTGATTATATTGGTGGACCTACAAAATAATTCTATTCAGTAGCTATTTGTACTTTCTTATACATACTGCCATCATGAAATATTTTCTTGTATTAAATCAGCTGTGTCACAAAAGTAATTTAGTTTTTTAAAAACTTAAACAAGGGCTTCACTGGTGGCGCAGTGGTTGAGAGTCCGCCTGCCGATGCAGGGGACACGGGTTCGTGCCCCGGTTTGGGAGGATCCCACATGCCATAGAGTGGCTGGGCCCGTGAGCCATGGTCCCTGAGCCTGCGCGTCCGGAGCCTGTGCTCCGCAACGGGAGAGGCCACAACAATGAGAGGCCCGCGTAATGCAAAAAAAAAAAAAAAAAACTTAAACAAAAATAAATTACATTAAATTAACACCACTATGTCCCTTTATTATGAAAGCTTCCTTTAAAAGTGAGGAACGATTTTAAAAGTGGCCAAAAATTTTTTAACAACTCACTGAGGGCTACCTGTACCAAGTTGAAATGAAGCCAATTGAAGATGACTGACAGAGAGAACTGTACATCCTGGGTAAAAGTACATCCTTCCTAGTTGCCAAAAATCCCTCCCTTCACATCCACTGTACTCCTTACTATCAGGAACTTCTTGGAAGAGGCACAGAAGCCACAGAAATGGAAGATTTCACTACTGTGAGATATCAGGGCAGAAATCATCATTCTCAACTGGAAGATGAGGAAATCGAAACACAGACACATTCTAGATGCAGCTGATTCTTCAGAGCCCAGTCTAG